TTACCAATTTTGGATCTTGCAATCTACCGATTACTCTGCTATTTGTCAATTATAATATGCCAATTATTTTGTTAATGACTGATTCTGTAGATCCCATTGATATGTCCCTCAAATTGATGCGACCTGATTAAGAAGCATCAATTTGCTGACTAGAAACTGATGTCATGGTCGAGGTAAAGTCTTGGTAAAGACATCAACGGTCTGAAGATTAGTAGAGATATGGGAAGAGTAAGTATTTTCTCGTCATAGGCTTTACGAATATAGTAACAATCAACCTAGATGTGTTTGGGTCAAAGACCAGATTTTCAAGTACAATTAACAGAAAATTCTAACGTAGGAATTAGATCTTTATTACTCAGAAAAACCACGCTTAAACAAACGTGGTAAAATCAAAGAATTGGGATGGCCTAATTGCTTTTGTTAAACCTCACACTGATTGCTTACGTTAGTACAAGCCAAAGATAAAATGCTAGGAATAGAAAATTGTAGATGAAAGTGGGCATTGCTAAAATGTATTTGAGAGGAAAAACAGATATACGGTTTCATGGATTTATAGCTAGCTTTCTAAATGGAACATTTTCTACTGAAATATATAGGCGATTTGCGGAAAACACAGTTGAAGAAGTAATTGAAGTGTTTAGCAAACTAAGGCAGAAAGGGTCTATTTCTGAATACCAGGAACAATTTGAAGAACTGAAATCAGAGGTGATATTATCACTGCCTCATCTACATCACTGTCTCATCTACCTGAATCCTATTACATATCACTAGTGGCCTGTAAGAGGCGATCAAATCTATAGTGAAAATCATTAAACCTACAACCTTAGCTAAAGCTTTTGAAGTAGCTCTCTTGCAGAAGAACACAATTACAGTCAATAAATAAAGGAGCCAAAACCTATAAACTTTATATTCAAGCCAAATGGACCTATCCTAATATCAAACCAGTTGAAATATACGCACATGACCATGTATGTAGGAATAGGATGCTGAACTTCATACTTATAGATGAGGTGGAACAAGGGAAAAAGGAAGAATTACTTGGAGGAGAGGGAAAGCAAGAAGTTAAGAAAGAATTGAGTGAAGTAATGGAGATTTCAATCCATGCCTTGATGGGAAACAATAGAACTAAAATCATTAGACTTCCAGGGAGCATCAGGAACATGACGGTCTCTATCCTCATTTATAGTGGGAATACCCGCAGTTTCATTGATGAACACTTAGCTAGGAGCCTCAATTGTAGAATGCAGTCAGTTAATCCAATGAATGTGACAATGGCAGGTGGGGAAAAATTAGTGAGTGATGCCATGTGACCTGGAAATTATAGGATTTGGAATTTCAATATCAGTTGAGGGTCCTCAAATTGAAAGGTAGTGACATGGTTTTTGGAGTTGATTGGTTGAGCCAGTTCAACCCTGTGCTATTTGATTTCTGTAAAGGAAGTATAACCTTCACTCATGGTGGTACCAAGTTGGAACTAAGGAGCCTATTAATGAGGAGTGTCATATGATGACAGAAGAGGAGGAAATGAGCTGGTTCAGGAGTCAAAACTTATGGAGTGATAGCACAAATTGATAAGGAGCCAGAAGTAGTACCAACTGAAATTCAGGCAGTGGTAGACGAATTTTCAATGGTTTTCTCTGAGCCAAAAGGCTTACCTCCACCCAAATTTAATGATCACCACATACCAATTAAGGAGGGGGCACAACCATTCAAACTGAGGCCATATAGGTGCCCCCTATATACAAAAAGCAGAGATTGAAAGGTTGGTTAAAGAGATGAAAGAGAGTGGAATAATTTAGCCAAGCACTAGCCCTTATGCATCTCCTGTCTTACTGGTCAAGAAGAAGGATGGTACTTAGAGGTGTAGATAGGTAGCTAAATAGCCTCACCATCAAAGATAAGTATCCTATGCCCTTGATTGATGAGCTACTAGATGAATTAAAAGAAGCAAAGTGGTTTACTAAGATAGATTTGAGAGCAGGGTACCACTAAATCAGGCTTGCGGAGGAAGACATTCACAAAACAGCTTTTAAAACACATGAAGGGCTCTATGAATTCAGGTAATGCCCTTTCCAATGCCCGATGAATGAAGTTCTCAGGGAACAACTCAAGAAATATGTGTTGGTCTTCTTGATGACATATTGATTTACAGCAAGGACTTAAGAGACCCATTGCAAGCATGTATTTGAGGTTTTAAAATTGTCGAGGGAAGCCGTCTTACTCTCATCAAATCTACACTTTCTAATCTTCCAAGCTATTTTCTATCTTTGTTTCTTATTTCCGTTGCAATGGAAAATAGTTTGGAGAAGATGCAGAGG